TAGTGCCACTGAGTGGGCACCCCAAATTTGCTTTCGTGGAAAACCAGGGTACCGCACCATCGGAGAAGTACGAGATTTTGGACAACTGTGATACCTAGGATTTGAGATACTATTTGAAATGGCGCTGGAAAGCATTAAATGTTGTTGTGCTGTGGTCTAGAGTATCGGACATTATGACGCAGTTCAATGGTACAACTTTATTCTGGTGTACAGTGTAGGCATCAAAAGTGTGAACGGTTGCCAGCAAATTATTACAATGAATTCCCTGTACACTTTAAAAAACAAAAGAATAGTTTTCAGAGAAATCTGCCACTACAACGACTTCACCTTCACGTAAGCTATGACAAGTGAATTTGAAAAACTCGGATTGTTTCGCTACAATATAGACGTGCTTTCGTACGGCTGGGATTGAAATGAATAATTCAAGATGAATTTTACCTGCAGATGGCTGGTCATTATCCATGTTTTTTTTAACCGCCAGATGACATTGCACGCATACTTTCCGACCTTCGATAATTTTTGGCAAAGTTCTTATTGTACTCGTCATGAAACCGTGCAGAAATTGGTTTCAAACTCTTGCGACGAATAACTGTATGCAGATTGAATGGGTTGCAGCACTGTCGTTGCATTGTCGCATACAGGTCTCCATATTGCTTAACATGGCCATCACAAACACTTTTCAGTTCCGTAACACCAGAACGAAGCTTGTAATTGTGTTCCACTATTCGGGACCTAACACCACTGCGACCAGTAATTTGATCTATTGTAGTATTTCCCGTGTCCTTAGTTTAGTGCATGTCGCATTACTCCATCACTATTGAGAAATGAAGTATTCGATTTTTTAACAGTTGTAATTCTTGCATTTATCTCAAGGATGCGACTCTAATTGAAAGGTCCCGCTATTTATACCCTTCGGAGTGTTGAAACATCCTCCAAAGGCACACCCCTTTGTCAGTCAAAATTAGATTCCTTAGCAACAAAATTAAGGAATGACACCGATATTGACCATGCATCAGAACCCTAGTCTTAAGCACTTCAAATTATGGAACAACGAATATAAGATTAGGAATCACATAGATGAAGACGATAAACACCCAAAGGTGTTTATGGGTGTTTCTGCATGTCGACCTAGCTGTCAAAACGTTTATTGAAAATTAATGCTTACTGGCTAGCATTACATCCACTTTTGTTTATAATCAGAATTCTTTTTTTTTTGCTCTCCAAAAATTTACCAATTTAATCATGCACAGTGAAAGCACGGAATTTCAGAAATAATGCACACGTCTATGCAAGCAACTTACAGGAATTCAAATTCGCATCCCTGATCGTCATCCGCAACACCTATCTAAAAGAATGTGCTGTGTATGTATGTCTGGAGTTCCACTCCGATCTCAAAAAGTACTCCCTCAGCCGTCGCATTCTTATGTCATGATGCTTGACATCCTGGCTCAAACCAGTAAAGTCTTCTCGAATCCATCCCAACCGAATTCCAGTCGCAATCAAGCCCAGATAACCAAACCGAGCACGCCCCTTGCTAAGCAATCTCTGGATCTAAATTTCGCAAAAAAAACGAACCTATTTGCAAGCGGCAGCTAGTAGGATGGATCTCTCTGATTTGGTATTGTGTATATGAAATCCACGATGAAAGGGCATCAAACACATTAGAAAGAAATATCTGTCTTCAGCTATCGATCAATAATTGATATGATAATTATTATCCGCTTCATTAATATACAGTTACAGATATTCTAGCTCGTTAGAGGTTGAAATTGTCTGTTTTTCAATGTTGAGCTTGATATTGAATCTTCTTTTCTAATTGCGGGGGTGAGGGCTACTTCGGTGTCCCGATCAGTTTTTTTTTGTGGAATCCTACCGATTTCTGGAGGTCCCTCCTAAAGAAAAAAAAAATCATCAAAAACGAAAAAGGGCATCAAATGAATGGCAGTGCTGCCAGAAAAGATTAAAAAATTGGTTCTCATGGTGGTTGAAGGGTGTTTGAGTGTGTTGAAGAGTGTCGAAGAGTGTTTTTGATGTGTTTAACACAAGGTGGCAAAGTGGCTTACCCCCTGAATAGAACACACCATTTTCCACTCGGTATCTGCAAACTTCTAATGTACTAGACAGATGCGCCAGAGATGCTTAAAACATTAACGCCTAATATATGAAAAAAAAAAAATCAAAAATGTCATATTTTATACGTTGATAGATGACATCTTCAAAGACATCTATTTGATCTCGAAATTCTGGATCGTATGCAAAACATGAGCAAATTACAGTTTTGTCCTATATTTCACATTTTTGTCTTGTTTTATGGCTGACCATAAATAGTTATTTTGGCGTTCTTGTACCAAAAAATATAGATTTAGGTCCGTTGTGTACTTACCTTCTGAAAACTTTTAAAATAATAGGTTTGGATATTAATTCAATTGCTTTAGAAAATGCATCAGAAAAATAAAAAAACACTTTTCTTTAATTTGTTTTCCGAAAATGTTACATTGCGTTGAACTTTGTTTTAGATAGTCTATCTTATGTAAAAATGCTGTGGGACACGATGGGGCATCAAACCAAATATTTAGATGCATCAACTTAAAAAAATCACGTTTAAAGTTTTTAGTTGCTAAATAATATTTAAATTTGGCAACACTGTTCTTGGTAATGTAATCGATTTTTTTTTCTTTAAATAATATTTCACACAATAAGTCATGAGAATGAATCCACTTATTAAGAGGAAATGAAAAAAAAAATGAAAAAAAAAGTTTTACCCTCATAATTTATGACTTTCGTTCATTCAAAATGCAATATCTCAGGAACTACGCAAATTACTTTTTGTCGATAAGTGTTTCTAATGTAAAAAAGGATGAAGAACACGATGATGTCCTTGAAATGAAAATTAAACGATATGTATTATGAGAAAACTGCATTTAAAGTTTTCAAACAAAAATAAAAAATATTTGGCAACACTGTACAGAAACAAAAGTTACAGATTTAGATTTCTTGTCTAATTTCCTTATTGAAACAATACCTAATGCAATTTGTAGCTTTATTTGTTCCGGAGATATGAACAAAAGAAAGTAGTGCTTTCCAAAGAATCACGAAAATTGGAAAATGCACCCCTTGACCGAGGGGTGCTCCGATTAGCATAAAACTTTGGATTTTTAAAATTTGAACTTAAATGAACATTCCCTACAAATTTGGTCCAAATAGGAAGAGGTCAATTTCATGTGCTGTGTACACTTGGCGCGGAATGACCCATATATAGGTCGATTTTCACGATTTTGTGTATCAAACCTTCTTCCATCCTTTTACATCTTTAAACTATCTCATTAATCTGATAAAAACTGATTATTTTTAGAGACTTGCTATAATTTTTGAATACTATTAGAAAAATCAAAATGTTTATTCTTGGGAAGCACAGTAAGCTTCTCATAAAATCCTATATTTAAATGTTGCAACTTGAATGCATTAGTTGAATCACACAACAAATGTACGTAGAGAACAATAATAAAAAGTACACAATTGTTATAATATTAATTAAAACATTAGTTATTATTTTAACTTTTATTGAACTTATGTACCCATGCAATCATAACGCGGCTAATCATAGAGTTTCCCTTAGCTCAGTCGATAAAAGCACAGCTATAAAGCGAGACCATGTTGGAGGTGGCTGGGTTCGATTCCCAGTCCGGTCTAGGAATTTTTCGAGTTGGAAAATTTCTCGACTTCCCTAGGACATAGAGTATGATTGTACTTTCCACACAATTATACTAATTTAAAAATGTTACATGCATCGAAAGCTATCAATTAAAAACTTTGGAAGTGCATCTTCGAACATTAAGTTGAGAGCTCACAATAAGCTAATATGCGATAAACAATAAGCTTGAAAATCGAGGAAGAAAAAAAAAGACCAATGAAATCATTAATCATTAAATCATTACTACTAGCTACATGTTTGCAGCTCAACAATATTTTAGGAATAGAGTCGATATTGGAAATATATTAAACGTTCTTTCGTATTGCTACTGAAACTGACTGAAACACATAATTCTTAAAATTTTCACCCACTTCCGGCTACATCAACCTGTATCCCAATTTCATTTCTTCCTTTTTCAAATCTTCAAGTAAACACTTTACCACAATATTTCCCCTACTCATCATCGTCTGATTAAGTATCATTCATCTTCACTCACACAGTCTGAAAGCTTCGTTGCTATCATCGACAAACTATCACTCAGTTTCCCAATCCCCCCCATCGTACCAACTTTGCTCCAGTCATCTGGCGCACAAACCCTTTTTATAAGAATATATCGATAAATAAACCCCACTTCAATTAAAGCGCATTCGTCGAAACGCGTCCACCCACCCGTGCCATTGGGGTCACAAACCCCTTGAGGCGTGCGACAAGGTCGTCTCTCTCCTCTCTTATGCTCGCTCGCTCGATCCGTATGAAAAATAGAGCGTGCAAAACTAATGACACCATTTCCAGAAGGCGATGTACATTACGTTGATTAATTTTATTCAATTAGTTGTGTAGTTTCTCGTTTCGGAGTTTCTTTTCATTTTCGTAGTTCTGTTCCTTTATTGGGTTTTTGCTCTTCATTCGAAATAGAGACTTTTTTTATTGTTTACTGCTTTCTTCATATCTTCCTCTTATATAAATTTGAGTTTTTGGATTGAATTCTTTTCCTTTCGGTTATGTGACTGCACCATTTTAAAGATTCTATTCATAGTTTTCAGTAGTTCGTATTTATTGCATGAGTTTCATATACCAGCGGAGTCATTCCATTCTCATTACCATAATTATGTTTATTTTCATTAGATAATAATTTATTCAACAAGTAGTTTTGTCATTACCTTCTGTTATTCCCAAACGACATTTATTAGTAAGAAGACTCTATAGTTGAAAATCAACTTTAGCTTAACTCCAACAACAAAACCAAAACAACTATCTCTCTCATAAAGTGTGTTAAGTACCAACCAAAATGTGTAATATCGTTTTCCAGCGTCTTCCAGCTGTCCTAAACAGGATCGGAATAATACTCGCGAGTCCCCTGGTAAGCTATCTCTTATCTATACATCATCAACCGAAAACCCGTTATCCCAACAGAAATAATCCAACACCAATTTGAGATCGAAATTGACCCACTCAGAATTCTTTTTGTGACACTCTCCCATTAACTCTCGATAAACCAGAGGAGAAGCATTCAACATTCCATCACCTATCAAACTACTACACTCACCATACCATGCAAATTTAGAACAAAATTACTGACTCAAAACTGTGCCAAACTTTACCACCGTCTAACAATACTATCTGCCAACCAATACTAATTTACTAAACTATTAAAAGCTGCTTTTAGACCCAGCTTCAAGTATCAAGGCTAGATACTGCTCGCTAACAGAAGCCGTTTGGTCTTATTTGTATTTCTTTCGTCTTATTTACATTGCTGGCTGAATACAAATGTACTGTTTTCCTTTCTTTTACTTTTTGCCTTCTTCTTCTTCTTCTTCACCAATCGCTGCGGCCTCTCTCGCGTTGCAATACAAAATATCATGCCAAACAAATCCTGCCAAAATAACAAAAACTCTCATAGACGTCAAGAATATTCTCGGTAAAGTCTGTTTGACCTAGTCAGCAATCAACGCCATCCCCAAACGCCATGTTGTCCCACACTAAATACGATCGCATTTGTTTGCTTTTCCACTAATTTCGCTGTAAACATGAACGCTTTTTCTATCCCCCTCCCTTCATAGTTGGAATGACTGGTGATACCTAACATAGAGCGTTGCACATATTTACGCAATCTAGTACTGTAACCCATTTTAAAAACATTATGAATCGGCAATTTAATACAATTCGACGAACGCTGGTCACCAAAGTACTTTTAAAAATATTTATAACAAAATTCAACAATTCAACAATGTTCATCCAACAAGGAGCAAAATTATACTATCCCAACTTTTGTTGACCAGCGTAATAAACTCTTCAATATGACCTAAAACAAAAACTCAAACCGACTCTGGTCTTAGCTCAAGACCCACAACGGAATAAATTAACCCAATAACAACTAACTGCACACTAAAGCCTTGCCATTCAAACAACAACCATATAAATGGACGGCCATATGTCTCGGTGTACTTAAATGTTCATTGTGTATTCATAGTTCTGCAACAGCAGCAATTGACTAGATCTTCGTTTTAGCATAAATGTGCTTTTTCAGTGCTAATTTCATTACCCGTTTCTGAGTGCACCCGCGCCTTTCTTTTAATTTAAGATGCAAATTGAATTGTCCACACTTCGTTGACAATGGTGTTGAAAAGTGCAGCACTTGCTAGAGTATTCCGGAGAGTCGTATTCACACCTTGCTCAATTTTACCCCTCATCAGATGAAGAGGGAATGCTGCAGTTCAATCTCGGCCAGATGGTCGGATATCCTTTTTTTTTCCTAGTGATACAAAGTAAACACAGACAGCATTCCATCAAGAGAATAAAAAACACGGAAAATTAGAGCGCTTTCGATGTTACATGTTGCCCGTAGAAGTGCACTTGAAGTAATGAATTTAGTTAGTTGATTTTTTAAGTTCAATTATAGCTCTTTGTTTGATCATGATCATGGTTCGGTAGTTTTGTTTCGTTTAAAATTTGTTTACTATGAATTTAGTTACGTTTACGTTTGACAGTGAATTTAGAATAGTAAGATAAAGCATTTAAGGAATGATTGATGACAATGAATACAAAATTGAATGGAGGAATGACAGGAGATTCAAAATCGTTTCCCTGGTGAACAATCGCAATTTTTGTTCACAGACAAAGATTGTCCTCGAAATAAAACATATCCCAAATTGTTGCATCAAATGTTACTCTGAGTATTAATGTGTAAGTCAAAGACTACATTCGATTAGTTTTGGGTGGTCTGAAGCAGTATACTAAAAGTTTATTTGTCTGTTCCAAACTCCTTCCGATCACAACGTATCTAGATGGGTATGAAACCGAGCATTTAAATCACAAGCTACCACGAATGCAGGCACCGTCATTCAGTCAATTGATTAACCTAGATTTAACTCCAATCAAACAAGTCGTTTTTGAATGGGCTTTAATTTTAATTTTAAAACAGCACAATTGTGCAAATTCTTTCATGCATACGGTACTTGTTCGCCACTGAATATGATGATCTACATAGACGATCCACCATCCTCATTAAAGGATTAAAAAAGAGATTCTTCGAAGCGCGTAGCCCTATGTGTGGTTATTAGGTACTCCGGTTTATTGCACTGCTCGTGTTTTTAGTTGGAGAAGCGTTAGCGACGGGCAAGTGATAAAAAATGCTTAGCGTACGCAAGATAATGCGAAAGATAATAGAAAATTTTCAAGGCTCTTGGACTTGGCAGAATCTTCAGGAATAGTTTACAGTAGTATTTCGATTAGAGTTATAATAATTTCAAGGATCTAAAAAGAATTGTGAGGAGAATGCGATGCAAATTCTAAGGTAGTTACAAGTAAAATTTAATGGTATTTCTGATAAGAATGTAATTCTCAGTTTTTATGGAGGATTTTATATCAAATCCTAAGCCGAAATTCAAAGGAAATCTGAGGAGCATTCAAAGGAAATTTCAACAATAATTCCAATGAAATCTTATTGAGAATTCCATGGGAGTTCTGATCATTCCATGAAAATTCTTACTCTAAAGGAATTCTGACATGATCTTCAAACAATTGCAATAAGAATTCAAAGAGAATCTGAATCTGAACGTGAACGGGACAATTCTATCTACGCTGCAGGGAAGATTTGGTTATGCTATCGTTAGACGAGCACTTGCTGTGGAGATAGAAAACAGATCGATAAAGATTCTGAAAATTACCAGCACGAAGATATAGTCAGATGCGAAAGATATACATATTCAGGTGTGAGAAAAAAAAACATTAGAATTCCAAGGAAAATCTGCGCCCCGTAACGTGGGTACATGACCTTTTCGTGGTACGTTAAGGATGTAAGATCTACCACCGATTCCTATTCTTGACTACACCAAACTAGGGGAACAAGATTTTTCAGTAATCAAAGGAACACATCTTAGTCCTTGTTACATTTTATACCTTGTTGATAGTGATAAGTCCTCGGGTTGCCTGGACCGAGGATGATCTTGAAACAAGAAAAAATGAGTTTTTGTAATCAAAAGACACATCTTAGTCCTTTTTTATACTTTTTATGCCTTGTTGATAGTGACAAGACTCGGCTTTGTCCACCGAGGATAATCTTGAAACAAGGAAAAAATGAGTTAGGTAGTTATTTTTCATCTAAGTGATCCCTAATCTTTTATTCGCTGTTCTCTAGTGAAGTGGTTAAGACTAGGGTTCTGATGCATAGTCATTATCGGTGTCATTGCTTGTTTTTGATGCTAAGGAATCTAATTTTGACTGACAAAGGGACGCGTCTTTGGAGGATGTTTCAACACTCTGAAGGATATAAATAGCGGGACCTTCAAAATTAGAATCGATTCCTTGCGATGAAGGTAAGAATGACAACTGTATCAAAACCGAATACTTCATCATTTCTCAATAGTGATGGAGTAATACGACATGCACTAAACTAAGGACACGGATTATACAGTGGGGGAAATTCGTTTAAACGCAATGTCATTTTTGCGTTTATTTTCAACACAAAAGATCGAGACAAAAAATCAAATATAGTTTGTCATAGCCCATCAGAAGTCTCGTATTTGAGAACACAATTTGAACGGAAGTTCATTGTGGTCTCTGAAAAAATCCAATAAAGGTGATTTTAGAGGGGAAATTCGTTTAAACGCACACTAACGTAAAGCCGCATTGAGCGTACCTATGCTCCTGTTATCTTGCGCATCTGTCATATTTACACTGTATAGCCCTCGTTCGCCATTAACACGAGTTTAAATTTGCGTTGCGCGGTAGTTGTTGCTTGTTTTCGGCAAAATGGGTAAAGGAAAGTATTTAAGCCAGTCGGAGCAAATACTGGTTCGAGAACTCAAAAGTCGCGGTGAGAGCAATCGCAAAATTGCACGTGTGATCCACAGATCGGAAGCAGCAATCAGGAACCTGCTGAAAAAAGGCAAGACGTATGGTGTAAAAAAGAAAACAAAGGGAAATTCGAAGATCACCAACCGTGTCCGAAACCAAATCATACAAATGGGAGACTCTGGAAACTTCTCTGCTGCGCAAATCAAGCAAGAAATGGGGCTTTCCATTTCTAAGAGGCGTGTACGGCAGATTCTACATGGAAGTGGCCACTTAAAGTACACCAAAAAAGCAAAAAAACCCAATCTTCAACCGGCCCACATTAGCGCCAGATTGAATTTCGCTAAAAAATACATGTCTTGGACTACGGAATGGGACAATGTTATTTTTTCTGACGAGAAGAAATTCAATTTGGACGGCCCAGACTGCACCGCATATTATTGGCACGATTTGAGGAAATCTCCGCAGGTTAAGTTGAGCAGGAACTTTGGAGGTGGTACTCTAATGTGTTGGGCCGCTTTTTCGATCCATGGAAAGACCCCTATTGCCACCATTTCAACCAGGATGAATTCGGGAAAGTACTTGGAGCTTCTGGAAGATGTTTTGATCCCGTTTACTGAAGACGTTATGCCGGAAAATTTCGTATTTCAACAGGATAATGCAGCAATTCATGTCAGCAAGCAATCTTTGAAATGGTTTTCTGAACGAGACATCAGTCTTTTGGATTGGCCAGCTCGTAGTCCGGATCTAAATCCTATCGAGAACTTGTGGGGCATCCTGGCACGACAGGTTTACAAAGGCGGAAGGCAGTTTAAACCAGTTCGTGAACTTGAGTCAGCCGTAAGAGAAGCCTGGAGCTTGATACCTGATACAACTCTGCAGAAGCTGGTGAAATCAATGCCGAACAGAATTTTCGAAACTATTCAGAAAAACGGAAAGCAAACGAAGTATTAACTATTGTTTATTGTTGATTTTTGAACTGTGAACTCGATTTGATTAATAAAACTAAAAGTGCGTTTAAACGAATTTCCCCCCCAAAATCACCTTTTTTGGGATTTTTTCAAAAGTCATTATGAACTTCCAATCAAATTGTGTTCTCAAATACGAGACTTCTGATGGGCTATGACAAACTATATTTGATTTTTTGTCTCGATCTTTTGTGTTGAAAATAAACGCAAAAATGACATTGCGTTTAAACGAATTTCCCCCACTGTACTACAATAGATCAAATTACTGGCCGCAGTGGTTTTATGTCCCGAACAGGAAAAAAAGGAAAATCTGAAAACAAAAAAAAATAATCAAGGTAATTCTGAAAAGATCTTAAAGCGAATATTAAACTGAGGTTATTTTCAATGGAGTTCTAAGCAGAGTTCCAATTATGAGGATAGCTTTAAGGGAATACCTCAAAAGAATTCATTTTAAGAAGAATACCACTGGACATAGCTGAGTTCGAGCACTTGTTGCAATTTATGAGTAAACTCAAATTTGGGTTAATCTAATTGGCCGAAGACAACAAATCAAGAAGACTGGTAACTCTTCCATTTTCTCAGACGAACGCTATGAGATAGGTACAATCGCGTCATCTGCCGCTCAAAGGTAAATGCTTCGAACGAATTAAATAGCAAA